GAGCCACAGGAAAATTAAGAAAATTTTGATTAAAGTCTAAATCCTACAAAAACATCCCAATTCAGTTTTAGAACCACATTGGGATAGCTTAAGATAAACACCTTAAGAGATGAAAAATGATTAAGGTACTTTGTAATGACACTTACCTATTTACCTGAGCTTTACTAAACAGAATGGTCTTCTCACTCCTAACTCAACCTGATTCTATATATTGATTTGGGAGAGCGTTCGAGATAGCAATGCCACACACACACTGAGGTTTCCTAGTGGTCAGTGAGCAGAGGCCACAGGGGGTGAAAGAAGCCACATATTCAAAAAAGCTCGGCCTATGTGAGCAGTGTGTTTACTCACTGCGAAGAGGGTGGATATGTTCACTTGCTCTTCTGCGCGGACAGCAGAGTTGTAAGAAGACAGGGTCAGAATGCTCACACTGTTTCCAATAGACCTAGGATCCCCACCTCCTTGAGCTCCCAAGATCAATGTCAGGGGGCTGAAAATCCAGTACACAGTTTTTGACATTAGAGGAGGCTTTTTATAGTGGAAGCCTTGCAGAACCGCTGCGCTAAATCATACCTGGGTCATCACACAATGAACGACTTCATTCAGGCATAATTGGCATACCATAAAATTCACCCGTTTTGAGTATACAGTGAATTCTAGTTGCCACACATCGTTAAGTGGAGACAGCTCAATTTCCCAACAAATCAATTTAATTCTTTGGGGGGAAATGTAAGATGTATGTCATGGAATAGGATGAGACAGTGGTGGAGTTTAGTTCAAGTTTTCTAAACCATCAGAGAGAATGTTATGAATTAATCCTATGCACAAATGTACAATCTATAGTAACGATCATCAGAAACCAGTCCCAAATAACCCCTGATGGTGAGTGCATTGATGCCATCTGCTGCAGATTTCCCTGATACTTCAGGAGTCTTCCAGGATGTGGGGAACGTTTACCAACAAAGACCATCTCTGCTTTATCACCTATTTACGAACAAAAGTCCTGAGGAGGCTTCGCACGTCCAACCAAAAAAACACCTGAAGGTATCTCTCGAATCTGAAGGTCCTTGCTCGCTACACTGCTGTAAATATGGTATGAGTAGAATAGTGTGACAGCCGGTATGTCTTTCATCTTCATAGTGATGCCGGATGTTATTTTAAGCACTTCAGTTACTTAAGTCGTAAGAAACCATTTATCACTAGTGTTACTACTATTATATACAAAATAATTGTGTGGATATTAATAACAATGATAGCACATAATAATGATAATAATGAAGAGGCTGGGTTGCAGAGGTACTTGATAATTTCCCAGAGACCACAGAGGCAGTGACAGTAGTACAATCCAAAGCCCCAGCCCATTCCTAAGCTCCTAAAGGTTTTCATATGTTTATGAAGTTTCCATTGTCTTCATAGGGGTTTTTCTACTGCCGCTCCCTCCTCCCCACCCCCCACCCCCACCCCAGTGCTGCTGTTCCTTCCATTTACACATCGCCCTCTCCTCCTCTGACCACCCCTGTCCTCCCTCAGGGACAAAGAACACAGGACGGAGAACAGAGAATATATTTTTATTGCTGACCCTGTTACTGATGTCCCACATCCCCACCACCACCACCACTATGCCCACCTCCACCCAGTCCCCACCTCTGTGCTACCCTGGCCTTCACCACACTGATGCCTGTGACCATGTGCTATGCACATAAGTTCCTTGGTTACTCTCTTCACCTTCTTTATCCAGTCCCCACCCACCCACCTCCCCTATGGCTTTTGTCAGTCTTTTCCATCTATCCATGCCTCTGGTTCTATTTTGTTCATCAGTTTATTTTTTAATATATGTATTTTATTGTTTTTTTTTACAGAGAGGAGGGGAGAAGAATAGAGAGTCAGAAACATCGATGAGAGAGAAACATCGACCAGCTGCCTCCTGCACACCTCCTACTGGGGATGTGCCCACAACCAAGGTACATGCCCTTGACCGGAACCGAACCTGGGACCTCTCAGTCTGCAGGCTACACTCTATCCAAACCGGTCAGGGCATCAGTTTATTTTTTACAGTAGACTCCACATGTAAGTGAGATCATATGGTATTTGTCATTCTCTGAGTGGCTTATTTTGCTTACCATAAAAATCACCAGGTCTATCCATGCTGTTGCAAAGGGTAAGTGATCCTTCTTTTTGACAGACAATAAGTATTCTAGTGTGTAAATGTACCACAGATTTTTAAAATCAACATTTATTATTAAAAGTATTACAGATGTGCCCCTCCGCCCCCCCCCATTGACTCCCTCTAACCTGATCCCCTCTCCCCCAGGCCTTCACCGTGCTATATTGTCAGTGTCCATGAGTAGCACATTTTTTTATCCCATCATCTATGATGGGCTCTTGGGCTGGTTCCAGATCTTCGCTATTGTAACTGACGCTGATATGAACCTAGTGTGCATGTGTTCTTTCTGATTGGTGTTTCTGGATTCTTACAATATATTCATAGAAGTAGGATGGTTAGCTCAGCAGGCAGTTTCTTTTTCTTTTCTTTTTTTGTGAGGAAACTGCACTGTTTTCCACAGAGGCTGCACCAGTCGGCATTCCCACCAGCTATGCAGTAGGGTTCCCTTTTCTCCCCATCCTCACCAGCACTTGTTTGTTGTGTTGCTAATGGTAGCCATTCTGGCAGGAGTGATGTGGTAGCTCATTGTAGCAAAAGCAGAATCTTAATTCCTGGTGACACTGAGTTTGACCCTGCCTCAGGGCTTCATTCCCACAGGCCCTTTGGCTGGGTGTCCTCAGAGACTCACTTGTATCCCTTCAAGATCACAGCACTCCCAGAGGCATGAACAGAGAGAGCTCCTTGGATAACAACCCCATGAAGGGCTCCCAGGATTCAGAAGAGAAATGCAAGGTGAGGAGATTGGAGGGTATCAAGAAGAGACTGGGGCACAGGACAGGGTGACCACATGTCTGAGGTCATGAAGTCAGAGGCAGTGACACAGGGAGCAGGGTGTGGGCCGGGGGAGATCTGAGTCTCAGGAGCTTCCCACCGTCACTCAGAACTTGCCTAGCATCCCTGAAGGAAACAAGGCCTGTGACCTTGGCTGCACTTGGTGACTCACGGTCCATTCTGGAAGGTGAGAGGACAGCCCACCAGCAGCATGAAGCACCTGCTGCAAGCAGGGGAGAGGCTGAGCCATGTTTCCCTTGTTCTGTCAGTTCACTGTGACATCAACCAGGAGGAACTGTTAGCTCCAGTGTACAAGTCCAACACAGGTTCTGCAGCGCAGGAAGAGGGCAGGCCAAAGGGCAAACATGTTTACCTGAGCGGCTGCAGGGATTCATTTATTTCTTCTTTTCCTAGGCATTCAAGGATATTCGCAAATACTTCACTGAGGAAGAGTGGGCAAAGCTGAGAAACTCAGAGAAAAGAACCTGTGTGTGCATGAAGAGAAACTATGAAATCATGACTGGTCTAGGTAACAGGAAATTCTGTGTTTAGAACAAGGCTCAGGGCCAGATGTGGTCAATGAGATACTCAGACCTGGACCCTGCATGGTTAACTTCCAATGGCCTTTGTTCCATCCCCCCTCCTGATGACCTTTACTGTCCCTATTGCCTCCCAGCATCCACCCTCCTCTCAGGTTAAGCATCAAATATTTTTCTTCTCCTAGGTTTAATGACCACCTGCCCAGATTTCATGCGTCCTAAGAATTGGACCACAAAGTCTGGGCATGATTCTGATGAAGATTGGAACCCTGGGAATGAAGGTGAGTGATAAAAACAGCCTGGAAATTGTCTGTGAAGCCCAAATTATTCAAAGTCCAGTTGCTCAGAAAAAATTCTCATGGGTATCCTTTTTTGCCACTTGTAAACCATTTTATTTTTTTAAATTTCTTTTATTGTTGGAAGTATTACAGATTTCCCCCCACTTTACCCCCTTTGCCCCCCTCCATCCATCTCCCACCCCATCCCAGGCCTTCACCTATCTATTGTCTATGTCCATGGGCTATAACTAATATGTACTTCTAAATCAACTTCATCATTTTCACCATTCTTCCAAACTCCCCTCCCATCTGGTAACTGTCAAAATGTTCTCTGTACATGGGAGTGTATTTCTGTTCTGCTTGTTTGTTTATTTTGATTTTTAGATTTAATCGTTGATAGATGTGTATTTATTGCCATTTTATTGTCCTATTCTTGATCTTTTATTTTCTTCTTCGTAAAGAATACCCTTCAAAATTTCATATAATATGGTTTGGTGGTGATGAACTCCTTTAGCTTGATCTTGTCTGAGAAGCTCTTTAACATTCAGTTCTAAATAACTGTGCTGGGTTGGGTAATCTTGGTTGTAGCTCCTTGCTTTTTATCACTTTGAATATTTCTTTCCACTCCTTCTAGCCTGCAAAGTTTATGTTGAGAAATCAGCTGAGAGTCGTATGTAGTCTAAGTCAGTTCCTTGAGCATCGTTAAAATTGTTGTTTTGAACTCTGAGTCTGGTAGTTAGCTTGCTTCCATTTCATTTAGTCCTTTTTTTCTGGAGATTTCTCCTGTTATTTCATTAGTAACCTGGTTCTTTATCTCGGAATTTAGGCTATTTCCCTGTGTTTGTGTCTAAGTATTAGGTAGAGCTGCTGTGTCTCCTGGACTTGGTAGAGTGGCCTTGTGTAGTAGATGTCCTGTAGGGCCCAATGGTTCAGCCTTCCAGTCACCTGAGCTAGACACTCCAGGCGTGCCGCTGTGTACACTGTCCTGTTATAATTGAACCATGATTGATGATGGCGTCACTGGGAGGGATTGACCCTCAGGCCAATAGCTTTCGAGGATCAGCCTCCACAGCATCATAAGAGCTGCTGGACAGGAGCCGACCCTATGGAGCAGGACTTGCTTCAGTGAGGCCTTGATGCTCACTGAGTCTTCCCTTTGAGTGTGTCACTCTTGGAGGTGAAAGAGTTGTAATCAGGCATGGTCAAAGCTGACCACTGGATGCACTGGCTCTGGAGCCACCCGTGGAGTGCAAAGTCGACCACTGCCTGTGCCCTGCCTGGGGTCACCCAGCATGAGTGACAAAGTGATCTACAGATGGCTGCTACTAGTGTTGGGTATGGAGGTGCCCAGGAGAGACCAAAATCTGAACCAAGATAGGTTGCTGCTACAGCCTGGCTTGGAGCTACTTATTTAGAGGTTCAGGGCACACTGAAGCCATCTGCTGCTTGTTTGAGATATTTTAGTAAAGTCCAAAGCTTGAGGCAAGAGAGGCCATTTGTATGGAAAAGCCACTGGAAATGGCTTGGAAGAGCCTGCAAGTAGGGAGGGGCAGAGTCTCAGGGGATCACCAGGGTGGGTCAAAAAGTGTGAGCCAGGTGATAGACATTCAGATATGGTTCCCTGCCTGCTAGCTCTGTGGCTGGAGGGATCAGAAAAGGGATCAGAAATCCTCTGCTAGGATTTCTGTCTGGGAGAAAGCTGTTCCTCCAGCTCTCGTCCTGATTCCGGGTAAGTTACTTTCACCCCAAATGTCCCAGGTCCCTTTCAAGCTGCTGCCCCAGTGCTGGAGCTCACAGAATCCAAGAAGGAAGAGACTCATGTCTGGGTCGGCAGGCTGAGGGAAAGAAAGGACCGTGTTGTGTATCAAGAGATCAGTGACCCAGAGGATGATGACTAAATTTGTAAGTGGCTTTTCCTTACAGCCCACACTGCTGCAAAACACACTGTTCTCATAGTCGCACTTTGTCATTCTTTCCCTAAATCGTTCCTTTGCCAAGACCCTTGAAATGCAGCACTGAGACTAAATGACAAGGCTTCCTTCCCTCTTTCTACTCCCTGCTCTGTGTAGCCAGGGATCTCCCTACCCAGCATGCCCTGGGCTCCACCCCCTGGTCAGCTCCTGAACTATAGGCCTCAGCTTCCTCTAGCCTAGGAACTCATACAACAGGTGAGAGTCCCCGTGGCATGAGCAGAAGATTCGCTTTGAGGAGCAGTGGGAGGTGCATGCACAGCATGAGATGGGGAGGAATCTGAGTGCTCAGGGTTTTGCAGGTCAGCATGAGGGGTTAGGTATTAATGGATCAGGAAATGGGCGCTCACTGCCACTTATTTCCTTTCTCTCTCCTTGTCTCCACCTCAGGGATGTGACAAGTGCCCATGAAAAGAAGCAGAACCCGGTGGCCCTTCATGAACATGGGCACGACTGTGGACTACTGGCCATCATGGGCACAACTGTGAACTACTGGCCATCATGGGTACAGTGAAAAGTTCAGCACTATCTTAATATGTTAATATGTTACAAATGTTCTGTTAGATGTTAGTTTTATAAAGTACTAGAGGCCTGGTGCATGAAATTCGTGCATGGGGGCAGGGGTGTCCCTCAGACTGGCCTGCTCTTTCCTAAGGGCATCTTGTGGCAGCCATCTTGTGGTGGCCATCTTGTGACAACATCAAGCGAGGGCGTGACGCCACCTAGGCTTTTATTATATAGGATAGTGATACCTATACCTAATGTATGTTTCTGTTGGTGTATCCATGCACTTTTCCAGGGAAACAGCACTGTCAGGTGTCTGTACACAGAAGAGCACTTCCCTCTCCCTTCCCAGATGTGAATGCTGAGGGCAGTTCTGGGGGTTCATTACACACCTATTTCTCTGCATTTAGAAACACATGAGGTGACACTAAGAGCATCTTCCACCTGCTCTTCTCCACTAACATGTTCCTTTTATTCTGTTCCCTATTCAGCAGTTGCTCCATGTTGCAACCCCCGATTTTTCATTTACCCTGCATCAGTCACTGTCAGTTAATAAACAGAAGTTTTTTCTCAGTTGGTTGCTCCACTCCTTCTGTGTACAAACCCTGTGCACATGTGTGAGTGATTCATTTGTACACATAAATAGAAGTGGAATTTCTGCATTGAAGGTTTCATTCATTCAACACTCAGGGCCCTGTACTGGGTACTGAACACTGTCCCTCGTGCTGAGCAGACATAGGGAACAAGACAGAAATGCCCTTGCCCACGTGAGTTTGACATTCTGTTGAGGGATATTTCCGGGTTTTACGTGATGGACTCTGTAAACACAATCAAGAGTCAGGCTTCTGCAGGTGGTTAGATGCCTTGCCTTTACTCTCTCTAAGATCTCAGGCTCAGGGGCTGGGATAGTCTATTGTGGAGAGTGTGGGATGAGACAGAGGTGCTCTGGACTCTGTCCCAGAACTCAGGGGAGAAGATGTGGAATCATTTTTCCAAGTCTGGGAACCTCCAGAGCGCAGCTTACAGAGAGGGAGAGGCAGTGTCCTGGTGACAGTGTGGGCAGGGAGGACACAGATGCACAGGGTGCGTGGGAGAGCGCCTGGCATACAGGCAAGGGAGACCCAGGACCCAGTGTGTGCTGTCACAGCCATCGAAAGGAGAGGGTGTCAGGGAGGACGGTGTGAGGGGTCGGTATATCCAGGGCTGAGGTCCCCCAGAACTGGCTCAGCAGTGAGAGGGGAGTCCTGCCTGGGTCAGTGAGGATGCTGCTCCACCTCTGCCTCAGCAGAAACAAATTCACTGCATTCCTCAAATCAATATTCTGCTAATGCAGTTTGAGTACATGATTGTCCATGTGAAAAGAGAAGAGGATCCCCAGAATAGATCCTGAAAGATTTCCTTTTTCTTCCTCCCTGGGAAGATGGTACACACCGACTGGGTGCCCAGCAAGGGAGACAAGTGCAGGAAAGGACGACTTGAAAACACTTTGCAGTCATGAGAGGGAATAATTTGCCTTTGGTTCCAAGGTAGATAATACTTTCCTCCTCCCCCTGCTCCATGAGGCAGATCCAGATTTTGAGATGCCAAGAGACTATGGTTTTTCCCAAACCCAGAAATCAGCCTGAACATGGCTCCAAGCCCACCCCCAATTAGCCTTCTCCCCCACAAACTGATGCCCCATGTGGATGCACATGCTCTTCTGATGAGGTCTTAAATGACTGTTTGTACCCTCTTGTCTGATTCATTTGTGTTTCAATTGTTTTTAGACTGCGTCTATAGCTAATCCCCATTCCTAGCAGAGAATTGGGAAATGCAGGGATGTGTGAGAAAGAGCAGTACATGCATCACAAGAGGAGCCTTCTGAGCTTTCTTCACCAAAACCCACAATACACAACACGTTTTTTAGTGACTCTAAGCCAAGTGCTCCACAAAAACATACTGACCCTTTGCACATGAAACACATTCTGGTATTTTCTATTCTGTTCTGCAATGCACTGTTATTCCATTGTAATTTATTAAAGACATGAAGTTCTGCTCAGATGACATACAACATTCTATTGGCCTGTTTATGAGTCACAACCTGAAGCTTGGAAAGCCTTTCTACATGGTCCCTGTGTGTGCTACCAGGTGACTCCCTGCTGTGAGTCCTGTAGAGAAGATGAAAGGAGGCCTCATGATGCTTTCTCAGGCCTGGGTCTCCTGGCAGGTAAAGATTATCTGTGGACCTAGGACAGACCTAAGACAGATAATTGTCTCAGACTGGACAGAGCGATGTTCAGATTTCTCAGAACCCTGTTGGTCTTGCTGGAGGGAGCTCCAGGTCTGGCTGCCCAGTGTGGGAGTCCAATATGGCACCTTGTGGTTCCAGTTGTCTGTGTCTGGACCAGGCTCTGGGTGGTTACTCGGTTCACGTGAGTGTATAGCAACTTATTGGTCTCACCAGAATGACCTCCAGCAGGATGATCTGGAAGCAGTGCAGCAGCCTTACAGGTGAGTCAGAGCACATGCCTAAATCTCCCTCCACCACTGTTGACTTGAAGAGGACATAACCAATGGTCCTTGCAAGCACCCTTGATCACAGGGAGTTCCCTCAAATCCCAGAGAGCTCTCCAGGTTTCACAGACTTGTCTATATGGTCTCTCACTTGCTCGTTTTATAGAGGCTGTTCTAGTGCACAAAGTTATCTTGCAGGAGGAAATGCTCTAAATGGAGGGATATATTTGGTTTCCTTGTGAGAGGCAGCAAGGTCGGCATCTTCCTAAGCCACCTTGCTGGAACACCAGTTGTACAAGACAGTTTTTAAGAATACTATATCATCAGAAAGATTACAAGGTTAATCTGAAAGTAACAGACCAGGGACACAATGCAGGAATGCTATCAGATTCCAAATTGTCCCAGGCATGCAATGGACTTAGAAAACTTTTTTTTTTAATATATTTTATTGATTTTTTACAGAGAGGAAGGGAGAGAGATAGAGAGCTAGAAACATCGATGAGAGAGAAACATCGATCAGCTGCCTCCTGCACATCTCCTACTGGGGATGTGCCTGCAACCCAGGTACATGCCCTTGACCGGAATCGAACCTGGGACCTTTCAGTCCGTAGGCCGACGCTCTATCCACTGAGCCAAACCGGTTTCGGCGTGGACTTAGAAAACTTAAGTGCAAACATGTGACACCCTTCAAAAGAAAGGAAGAATGACTGTGAGGGCTGAGCTGTAAACCCACAGGGCAGAGCCTCAAGTTCCAGAACTTTATTCCCAGGCCTTGAAACCTAATAAAACCTGCCCTGCTATATTTTTTAAAATATATTTTTATTTACTTCAGAGGGGAAGGGAGAGGGAGAGTGAGATAGAAACATCAATGATGAGAGAGAATCATTGGTAGACTGCCTCCTGCACACCCCACACTGGAGACTGAGCCCACAGCCTATGTATGTGCGCTGACCAGGAATCAAACCATTACCTCCTTTTTCATAGATTGATGCTCAACCACTGAGCCACACCAGGTAGGCTTTTCTTTTTATTTAATTCTCATGGAAGGATGTGTTTTTATTGATTTTATTGATTTTTTTTAGAGAGAGAGGGAGAGGGAGAGAGAAGCATTGATCGGTTGCCTCCCATATACTCCCTGACCATGGATACAACCCGAATCCTAGATATGTGCCCGACTGCAAATTGGACCCACAAGCTTTTGGTGTATGGGATGATGCTCCAACCAATGGAGCTACCAGGATGGTACACAGACACTCTCCCAGGACCAAACTGGAATTACAACACAAAAACAAAAAACCCACCCTGAATAATCAACTGAAGACTAGCTAGAGAGAACCCCATATAACCAAGGACAGAAACTGGAGACTGCATAGAAACTGGAAGAAACAGTGGAGGCTGGAAAGGGCTGGCTGATCTCCCACAGATAGCAGCTGAAGGTCTGGAGAGATATCTCAGCTGTGGGAGTTGCCACTGAGACCTCTGGAGTCTAAACTCCAAGCTGGGCCCCCAACGGGGAACACCAGAACTGAGAAAGGTACCCACATAACATCTGGCTGTGAAAAACAGCAGGGTTGCTGTCTGCCAGGACTCTGGGATTAGAGCTCTGAAGGCAGACACCCTGGTTTCCTGTGTTGAGTCATTCCCTCAAGGTTCAGAGGACATATTTGTCAGGCAGACCTTTGCTATCCAGGCGGTTTTTGCCTGTGGAAAGACAGTTACCCCACCCTATTGGGAAACCCCTTGCCCCACCTGTGGCATTTCTGAGGCCCATCAAGAGACTGAGAATAACAATTAACCTCCAGACAGAAGCAATTTCCCCACCCTGGTGGAAAACCTCTCACTCCACCTGTGGATGATTGCTTTAGGCTACTCAAGACTGAATCCAATCAGTCTGCAGGCAAAGGTGGGTCTCTTGAGGCACTGAGTCTTTG